CTTTAGAGGGGACATCCCGGAGGAATGCCGGAGGTGTGTATGTGTGTGTCTGTGTGTGTGTGTGTGTGTATGTGTGTGTGTGTGGCAAGAGAGACAGCTGAGAAAGAAATGATTAAGCAAAGTCTGGACATAAGACTCCATAAGACGAGGACTCGCACTCCTCCGGTGATGACAGCAGCATTTAGGAAGTGGCTTGTATCTGCTGCAGGACTACAGTCATCACACTCAAGAACACCGCATTGAAGATTATTTCCGCCTATGGTGTGTAATTCTTTGCCTCAGAGGACATCCGTGTTAACTAATCCATGTTGGCAGGGATCCATCTTTAAGGTCCAGTCCGAAAAAAACAACAATTGTGATTCAGAAAAATATGACATAAGCTTCTGCAGATACATTTCGATCGCAGATGCCCTGATTATTCGGACCTTGAGATTAGTAACTTCTGGTCATAACTACACAGATGTTTCGGGGATGTTGTGTACAGCTGCAAATGGAGAAGAAAAGCCAGAAAAGATCCTAAATATAATCCTCTTGTCATAGTAGTCTGAACAGAAATTAATTTAATCCAGAAGAATGGAACTACGGGGGATAATGGAAAAATGTTTATCCTACTTATTTGATGAAAACATCTACAGTACTGGTAGTTGTAGATCCTACTCTTGTCCAGTCACCACCTAGTTAACATTTAGTACACAAGACACTCATTGTTTTCAAACCTGTTAAACTTTTCTAGGGGGCACAGTCATTTATTTTAATTCAAATAAACACAAAAACAAAGTAAACCCTCAGAAATTATTAAAAAGTGAAAAATGGCAAATTCCAGAGATGCTCAAAAGGTTTGCTATTCTAGTTGAGTTGCTGATCTTTGACTGCGATCTTTGCTCAGACGAGTTCAGGCCAGTCCTGTTTTGCATTAAAGGTCCTTTGTGTAGTCCAGTTGGTATCCAGAGATTATCCACTACCCAGATAGCATTAGAGGGATTATTCGGTCACTCTGTGCCAACACGTCTATTCTGTTAATGAGGACACGAGAGAGCGGCAGCATGGACACGGGTCACCGGCTGATAATAACAGGGACGCACACTGGGTTCAGTCCACCTGAGGGGACCATATGTCTCATGTTTTCTCAACCTACACAAACTACTTTTACTTCTTATTCATGTCCAAAGACGGACTGAAATACATGTCTTCTTCAATTCTAATCACTATTAGCCTAATTCTTTGAGGTAACTCTATAAAAAGTGTCTTATTTATTTAATTATTGGTAAATGTTACACACAGAACCTTTAATAATTTGCACAAACCCAAAAACCGACACCAGAAACAAACTTGCATCGACTCATTTCTGCTAGATAATATTGATCGAATAGCATATTTTTACTAATTACAAAGTTGTTTCCATTCTCTTTCACCGTCCCTCAAGTTAGTAATCATCTGGGTCATTGAGTGTATCTGAGTCTGTATCTGTAGTAACCACCTGCTTTTAAACCAACCACACACACACACCACACACACACACACACACACACACACACACACACACACACACACACACACAACACCACACACACACACACACACACCACACACACACACACACACACACACACACACACACCACACACACACACACCCACACACCACACACACACACCACACACAACACACACAACCACACACACACAACACACACACACACACACCCACACACACACCACACACACACACACACACACACACACACACACACACACACACACACACACACACACACACACACACACACACACACACACACAGCACTTCTATTGTACATTGCAGTGTCATGGCAAAGCAATACAAAGCAACACAAACATGCACTCACGTGATAGTTGAGTTTCATCGGGGGGAAAAAATAGGTAATTCTGTCAATCCAACTGAAGAGACATCGGAAACGGAGATTGTTTTACTAATATCTTTGAATGTAGAAAAGTTGGTCGTATCCATCAGTAAGTCATCCACTAAAAAATTGCAGTTTACAACAAAACACTAAAGGGGCTGATACTATATTCAAATGTGTGTATTTTCCCTATTTGGAAAGCTTCCCAGAGGCTTTACAGTCACAGTTGGCTTTATAATGATATTGAACACATTTAGTGGTGATTGCACGGATGTTTGTTTCTCAACACTTCTCTGAGTTGACCTTTGAAGCTATTGAGAGTGGGGCAATCCCGTATCTCTTTGTGGAATAGCCTCCCAACTCAGAAACGGGATTGTCCCACTCTCAATAGCTTCAAAGGTCAACTCGAGAATGGTTGAGAAACAACCAGACGTGCGATCACCGCTAAATGCACTTTAACACAGGGGTATGCTCTCTTGCACTTACATGTCGTTGCTGCTATTGTATTACCATGTCATAAATACTTGTGTGTGCTGCTTTGCTCTCTTGCACTTTTTGCATATCATGTTTTGTTTCTATGTTTGTCAAATGTAAACTTCTTAAATGTGTTATGTGAGGGACTGCGGATGGAAATTAGCTCAAAGCTAAATCTGGCACTGTTACGCTTGATACATTGAATGTTTTAAGTGTTCATTAGTGTGCATTGTCCTGGCCAAATAAACCATTAAAAAAAAAAAAAATGAACAACTGATATGTTAAATCTGAAACTATAGTGACCAACGGCTTCTGTAACAGACAAATGGTTCATGTGTGTGTTCAGTATGATCAGATCACATCCTCCTGTCGTCTCTCTCTCTCAAGAACAACATTATGGGATTTTGTTGCTGCCGGGCCAAGCGGGTCACTAATGACCACATGGCCAATTAGTGAAGCTAGACAACAAGCAGATTCCCTCCTGCACAGCCGGGAACACAACAAGCATTCATCGGAATCAGTGAGAGGAAAACTATGAGGGGAATCTGTGCTGAGGGGCGGCAGCAGCAGATATAGATGTGTATCATGTGGGAAGCTTTCTGTCTGCACATATTTCTCCTTCACGGAGTGCTGTCTTTTCTGCTGCTGCTCAAATGATACTGCTCAATACAGAAGAGCAGAACATTATTCTATTCATAGTTTAGTCTCTGAAAGAACATTTGGAAAGATCTTTTAAGAGCTTGGTTTGTCCAATCAACGGTCAATTAAATCAGGGAAAATAAGTAAAGTTTCACGATTAGCAAATGCTTAGGTGTTTTTGCCTGATATATATAACTTAAAGAATGTACTGATTATCCATCATTATATTGTTTTCAATCACACAGATGTTATTCGATTAGTCGACTCATTGTAAATCAGAATGTTTGGTTATTCCGGGGAAATGGTTTTGTGACAGTTGCTCCAATATGAATACAAAAAGAAAGGTAACTAACAACATTTTTTTTTTAAAGTACAACTATTTGTATACACATAAGTTACAATGACTGAAAATGTAAAAATATATATATATCTTGTATTACAATATATAACATGTGTATTATAATATATATAGTGGTGTATTACCATTGATAACATACCAATGCAGCTGTTTTTTACATTTTACTCAAGTTAACAAACCTTGAATATTCAGGCAAACTTTTCTTTAGCTGGTTGTCGGGCAAAGATTTAAGTTTGAGTCACATTACGCTGAAGTTACTGTAACTGAATACAGAACATTCTCTGTGCATTTAAATTCTCGACAAGGCAGCCAGAGGTCAGGATCAGCTGTTCAGCAAAACACCCCTGGAGCGGCTTACTCATGGACACTACAGGGATGGATGTGTGTGTGTGTGTGTGTGTGTGTGTGTGTGTGTGTGAGAGTGTGAGTGTGAGTGTGAGCGTGTGTGGAGTTGGTGTGATGGGGTTTTGACCTAAGCTTCTACTGTGAAAGTGTGTTGATATGCAACATACATTTCATTTCTTTTTAAAACCTGTTTGTGTAAGAAGGAATACAGTGTTAATCTATCCGTAAGCCAAGTTGCGATAGTACCAGTGTGTGTGGTGTGTGGTGTGTGTGTGTGTGTGTGTGTGTGTGTGTGGCAGCGTGTGTGTGTGTGTGTGTGGAGGCAGGAGTCACACTGAGTCAGTCACACACTGTCTGTGAATATTTAAAAAAGGCAGAACTAACATCACATGACAGGTCTGGCAGCCCGATTTAGCACATCATGGTAATGCGATGCATGTCAGAGAGTATGAGTGTACACCTGAGAGTGTGACATAAAGTGTGAAATGTAAAGTTTACATTCTCACGAACATCAGAACAGAACAACACCAAGGGAGAAGAGAACAGCTGGAGGTAGCAATACAATACGATGCAGTTTGTTTGCTAATCAATAAAAGCACATTGGATAACAGCAGATACGTTTGATAGATCAATGATCAGGGGATTGGCTTAGACAGCAAAGTGAACTGAATTTCCCGAGGGGATTAATAAACGATGTCTTCATCTTCTTAATGAACTAATTGACTCATGTACCAATTAAAGCATATGCTGTCTCAGCTCCACCACTATGACAACGTGCTACTACTGTTGTATACAGTATATTTATAAAATGAATACACAGGGTTTGGATTATAAAAATATAAAGCATTAGAAAATGTGACTTGTGGCTATGAAACATGTGCGGAAAACTTCTAGCGGCAAGAGACATGTGTAATGAAAACATCTCAGACACAACTAAAGCCAGCTCCATGATATAGCCCGCAGCAGGATCTCTAAAGGCCTACAGGAAGAATACTGAGTGCCTCTCACACTCATACATTACCACAGCAGAGCAAAAACAGGGCTGTTTACAAAAGTGCAGAGACCTTTGGATTCCTTCATAGTGCAGGAGCCACAGGGAACCCTGCAGGGAAACCCTTCATAAAGAGTCTATTAACACTGAATGCACTCCCATGAACCACAAGCATATTTCTGCTGCTGCTATGACAACATATTCCAAACAGGGACAAACTTTGCTATCAAACATGACCACAGGTAGGTTCAAATGTCACCTCTGCTGTATTGGGCTTAGCAAAAAAGTATCTTACCTTGGGAAGGTATGCAGCATTTGTATCCTGTCCACCATCTCGTGGCCCTCAGGGTGCACCGCGGCCACATGGGACCACATCCTCTCCCAGGTTACACTCTCAATGGGGAAACCAGTCCTGTTCACGTAGAAAAGAACCCCTCCATCCTTCTCCTCTTCCTCCCCAGGGGACCGGGAGCTGTTATTGGGGGGAGAGGCGGAGGGGTCCACCTGGGTGCTGCATCGGAGCAGGCAGTGAGAGCTGGAGTTTTGAGCGGCCATGCCTGCTCAGCTTGGCTGGAGAGGTGCCGGCCCGGCTCGGGGAGTTGGGTCCGGTCATTGATCCCAGGAGGAGGAGGAGGAAAAGTTAGGCAGGCTGTCCTCCTCCAGCTACAAGAGCTTCTTCTTGTCTGTCAAAGTTGGACAGTTCATGTTCATCTTCCACAGCAAACCTAGCAGGGTAAAAAAGAAATGCAAACCGTACCGTAACTAATTTAGCATTTTTAAACCAGATTTAAATGCAGTTCAAATGTCAATACTCCTTTCCAGGTGCATTTTTAGAACCTTAACACAAAAGATCAGTCCAGATATGTCCATAAAGGTGTGGTGATGTTTTAATAAGGTGCTTACACATGGTAGTTACCAACCAAGAAGATATGTGTCTTTCCTATCTAGAAAAAGAGAACGGATGGTGCTACAGTGGAGAATGAAGACTTGTCAAAATGATTTCTTATCCGGTTACAGATGAGAAATCCTCCCCGATGTAGAAGCATTGACCCAATAAGGATTTATATCATAAACCAAACCCTTCGCTACATGTTAAAAGCAAAACCAAAATAGTGAGTAGAGAAGTCATATGTCCATAATGACCCCAAGGAACACCATGTACCAACTCAGCACATTATGATGAAAAAAAACCTACGACATTTTGATAAAAGCAACACTGTGATTTACACAAGTTGCCAAGAGAGTATTAAATATGTAAAAGAAAGGAACTACATACCTTTATAAAAAGCGAACGAATGAAGGAATCCATTAATGAGTATCAAATACTTATGCTAGTTTAAATTACATTAAACTAAAGGCAAACACAAAACTTATAATAGAAGGAGAATGTTTTCAAAACGAAATAATGGGTAACGTTACCATAGCCACAAGTCAATAACAAAAACAAACATGTTCGTAGGAATATAACATTATTATTAAAGCATAACTATGAAATCTAACAAATAGTGTAGATATGTCCAAAATGACCCCAAGGAATACCCTGTACACACTTTGCACATAGTGATGAAAACAACCTACTCACATGATAAGCAACGCTGTGGTTCACACAAGTTACATAGAGTAACAAAGGTGTCAAATACACGAATAAGTCAACGAATATTATAAAAAATCAACAAGAAAATGAGTAGTATCAAACACATGCCTTTGAATGAATTTATATTACATTGAAAGAACAACTTTCAACAGGAGAGAAACATGTTTTCTAATGAGTTACGTTACTATAGGCACACGTGAGTAACAGAAACAGACATTTTTTTTTATTACCGTTATTCACCGAAATATTACTAATTCAAACGTACCGTATTTTCCCCTGGGGCTCCGATTTCAGATAATCCACAATCCCTCCGGTTTAAAAGGCATTTTATCCGAATAACAATCAGTGAGGCAAAGTATGTCCCATTCATTCCAAAGCGACAGGATGTAAAGTCTTGTTTTGGTCCAAGGCTTTGTAACTTCACTCCTTCTTGTTTGTGTCAAGCTAGCAGAAGCTAACAACCGTTGGGCTAGGAATACGGCAAAGTCCACTTCAAAATAAAAGCGGTACGTTTTCCGATCACGCTTATTTTAAGAACAAATACCACGACGCGTTGCAGCATACTCATACACATGTCATGTATTTGTTTATAAGAGTTTTACATGTATGAATACATGTTTCAAGCCCAGAATGTCATCCAAGTAAATCCTGTTCTCGTCGGAGTTTGTCTTATTTTGAAAATACCATCCAGTAGTTCTTCTGTTTCGCTAGCTAGCTAACAACACTGCGGGGGCCGTTGCCTCCCACCTCCCCATTCCGGGGGAAATGACCTCCTCTCTGCATTCCTCCCGTTAGCAGCCTCGGTATCTACCTCCAAAGAACATCAGGTTGCATGTTGTTGATTAAACAAAAGCTTCTTCAATCCCTCACATGATTAAATAATTGGGGATAACACGGACCTACTAGGTACCTTCTGTTCTTCCTCTCTCTCTCTGTTGCTCGTATCCCCAAAACCACGAACGTTCGGCGGCTCCTCATTGGTGGAGCTGACAAAGAGGGGCGGGCTTTGCGTTACGCTCTACGCTAATTGGAACCGACGACGCTCTCTGATTGGTTGGTTTGATGGACGAAGGCGTCAACAAGTGATTTATCTGCAACAAATGGGATTTTCTGCCCCTTGTTGCATCTGTTGATTTTTCACATTTTCAATTGTTCACATTTCACAGGTTACTTTTAGAAATATAATACAAATTATATATATAATTAACATTTATATATTACCATAGAGTCATTGTTAAAGCAAAAGTCAACCCACATACCCCACAAAATAAAAACATAACATTTGTTTTAATGGAATTTCATAAATAATATTAACGACATGATATTACATCGGGAGAAAATGTTTACTTATTTACATGTACAAGCAACTACAGGTGAAACATGCTTTTAAAAGTCACAAATAAATGAAAATATCTCTTAATTCTGGAACTACAAGGCAACAGGTGTATAATTTGCAGGACAATTCTTGCGGAAAGCAAGTATTGAGCATAATTTCAATACTGCAATTAATGGTTAAACATTTGACTCACAGTGTGGTACATATCCCATGGTTAACTTAGCGGACAAACCCCCCCTTCTGGACAAAACAGTTTTTACAGCACAGAAAAAAGGACACATACTAAGTTAGAGTATAAGCATTGGATATAAAATACTGAATAAGATTTGGAGGCATTGACAATTTCCCTACAATAAAATACATTGCCACTAAAGCAAATATAAAATGAGCGTATTCTGGTTAAATTCAACCCCACCTCACTCTGAGAATAAAAGCTGCCTTTTCATAAATGTTATGTATTATTTTGTGGGTTGTCGACTGTGGCATAGAGGGTATCTGCATCAGAGGGGGGAGCTTTCACCGTGCTGTAGGTCACTTGATCTTCACCAACCGGAAGCTAGAGGATGTAAAAGGAAAAGAGAACACACATTACAAAACAGGACATTACACACAACATGATGAAAGAAAACACCAACGTCTAATGAGGAAATACAGTCACAAAGAAACCCAAAACAACAAGCAATGGCTGGCAACTCCCAGATCAGACATTTCTAATAATTCTGTGGGTTTTAGGGGAAATTAGAGACTTTTTTTAACATTAAAAACATGACTTTCTATACCAACACGAATACAGACAGCTTACCTGATCTGACTGTTGGTATTCTTGGTGTGGCTGATGGAGGCGTAGAAAACACCATCTTCAGGTTCAGCCTACACAGAGAGGACAACATAATGATTGACATTTACAGGTGGATTTAACTGACTCACACTCACAACAATATTCCAGTCTATTTTATCACACTCACCATTTAAAGAGGACATATAATGCCCATCTTTAGGGTCATATCAGTATGTAGTGTCTCTACTTTAAAGAGTCCTCTCCTGCTGATGTTCAGGTGTATATCAGTATGTAGTGTCTCTACTTTAAAGAGTCCTCTCCTGCTGATGTTCAGGTGTATATCAGTATGTAGTGTCTTTACTTTAAAGAGTCCTCTCCTGCTGATGTTCAGGTGTATATCAGTATGTAGTGTCTTTACTTTAAAGAGTCCTCTCCTGCTGATGTTCAGGTGTATATCAGTAGTGTCTCTACTTTAAAGAGTCCTCTCCTGCTGATGTTCAGGTGGTATATCAGTATGTATTGTCTCTACTTTAAAGAGTCATCTCCTGCTGATGTTCAGGTGTATATCAGTATGTAGTGTCTCTACTTTAAAGAGTCCTCTCCTGCTGATGTTCAGGTGTATATCAGTATGTAGTGTCTCTACTTTAAAGAGTCCTCTCCTGCTGATGTTCAGGTGTATATCAGTATGTATTGTCTCTACTTTAAAGAGTCCTCTTGCTGATGTTCAGGTGTATATCAGTATGTATTGTCTCTACTTTAAAGAGTCCTCTCCTGCTGATGTTCAGGTGTATATCAGTATGTATTGTCTCTACTTAAAGAGTCATCTCTGCTGATGTTCAGGTGTATATCAGTATGTAGTGTCTCTACTTTAAAGAGTCCTCTCCTGCTGATGTTCAGGTGTATATCAGTATGTATTGTCTCTACTTTAAAGAGTCCTCTCCTGCTGATGTTCAGGTGTATATCAGTATGTAGTGACTCTACTTTAAAGAGTCCTCTCCTGCTGATGTTCAGGTGTATATCAGTATGTATTGTCTCTACTTTAAAGAGTCCTCTCCTGCTGATGTTCAGGTGTATATCAGTATGTAGTGACTCTACTTTAAAGAGTCCTCTCCTGCTGATGTTCAGGTGTATATCAGTATGTAGTGTCTCTACTTTAAAGAGTCCTCTCCTGCTGATGTTCAGGTGTATATCAGTATGTAGTGTCTCTACTGGGACATGTCTCCATACTTTAATGTTCAAAAAGCTCTTTTTCTCATACTGCCTGTGCTGCAGCACCTCTTTTCACCCTCTGTCTGAAACCAGAGCCCAGTCTGGCTCTGTTGTGATTGGTCCCTTAGAGATGTCCCCCCCCTTAGCCTATCACGTATAATGTTTTGGATACACTGGCTAATAAAAGCGCGAGTGTTACATAGTGATGTCACAATGTTCCTGAAGTTAACAAATGAGTCCTACTTTGGGATTGTAGCCTTTGCAGAACATTTAATTGGACAAAAAAACAATGTACCACACTACAGGAAAGAAAAAGAAAAAAAAAGCATAAAAGGGCCTCTTTAAAATTATATAAATTCTGGCAAGTATTTCAAGTTATTTTCAAATGATGTCAGAAAATGTTGAGTTTTTTCACGGTGTCTCGACCTCTGACACCCCTATGACATCATGTTCTCTTGTTAAGTCAAGGTACATCAACTAACTTCCCTTTTACATTTTATAGCAAATTATCACACTCTCAAGACTGTTATCTATTAATAATTTGCAGAATAAACTCCTGTGGAGTGTGATCTCACCGTGTCCTGACAGCTTTCCGGAGCAGACTGAGTCACTGCAGGGTTTGAGGTCAGCATCTGCACACACACACACACAGTCCAGTTACATTTAGTCAAAAAGCATGTAACGGTTACATTAATGCACATGTTTCCATCAACACCTGTACAATGTAATTTAATGCATGCATATCACTTTGTAAGTTGCCTGTTCCTCACCCCAGGTAGCTTGGGGTGAAAAAACAAGTTCAACTCTAATCCCATCCGTCTTTTCATGCCAGAAGGTAATCAAATGAAACAATAAATATATGCTTGAATGCTTATAATGCATCATTGGTGGATTTGACTGCAATTCATTGTATGGTTTACTCACACATCAATTATTCAGTTTGAATGAATGAATTTACTTTTTGTTGCTGTAATCACTTTTAGTCAATCCATTGCATGACCCATTGTTCTCTTTTAACAATTGTACAGACCCACAAAATGCAGTGGTTTATTGTTTAAAAAAATATATTATTTAAATGTATAAAATCAATTCAGTTTTTTAACTCACGATGTGGTCATCCATTTGTGTTGCGTTAGCTGAAAAGACAGAGAAGATTTTAGTTTCCTTAGTGAGCATTTTGGTTTATCAGAACTTTTTGTGGATAAAATAATCTGTGAATGTAATCACCTTTAGATTTCCTCCATCCCACAACAGCAACAACTATTATCAAAAGTGCTGCCAAACCCACTGCAACAACGATGTACAACCACACACCTGAAATATAAACATATCACTTATTGGCAGCAGCTATGTGTTTTGACTAAAACAAAATGTTTTTTTCCTATTAAATCAACTGTATATTCGTACAAGAGTAATTCTAAAAACTAAAAACAATTGTATTTGCTTTTTTCATCAGTACTATGTGATTTTAAACATATTCTAGCACATTTTCTCACTCTTGAAGGTAACATTTTGTCTTGTGTAGCCAGTCACGTTAGAATTCAACAAATCATATTTTTTCGATGTGTAAATAAAATGTGAAGTCTTAAGGGTCGCGCTGGCAGAGGAGGAAGTAACTTAAACATCTCAACATGTTCTCACCTGAGGATTGAGGGCTGAAGAGAAACACCTGTACGTCTCTTGTGTTCTTATCAGTTACTTCACAAGTAAACAACTTCAACCTTGATGTGTAACTATAAAGAGAAGTCGGAAATGTCACAGAGGCAGAGCAGAGAGACTGTGATGTCTTTATATCTCTGTGATCTTTATCCACATCTTGACCCTGAAGCAGCCACTTCACTGTGAGTTTAAACCGTTCATATGCACCACAGAGCAGTTTAACGTCACCTCATCATTGTCCTGATGTTCAGTCACTGAAGATGGAGATAAACAACAAGAGTCAAATTAACTTAATCACTGTAATTATTGTAATGTTTTAGAGTATTGTTCAATAGAGACAGTTTGAAAACACTATGATGTAAATACTCACTGTAACAACAGACAGAGAAAACAGGAGAGTCTGGATATTGTTGTTCTCCTGATCTGAACTGTCTGCAGAGTGTAACTACCAGCATCCTCCTCTGTGACCTTCTTTATACCCAGAGAACATGTATCCGTAACACTCAGTCTGTCTGCTTTAGCTTTGGCCCTTGCTGAATGCCCACCTTTAGCCAGCTTGCTGTTGGTTCTCTTGTTAAATGATTAAAGAGCCATGTAGTTCCCTCACAGTTCCCCATTGCATTGTTACAAGGCAAAGTGACTTCAACTCCTTCTTTGACAATGAAACGCTGTTGGGTTTACCCCTGAGAAGACAAAGACAGAGATAACTTTAAATAAATATGGAAGTGGACTGCAGTTAAAAGGGCTTTCTGTAGCGAGCACTTAAAGTATTTACAACACATTCACACGAGACAAGAATACAAGGAGGTCCAATATCTTTCCCTTAATTCTCCGAGCCACATTTTCCCAATAACAGGCCATTATAAAGATATTGTGAGTATGGTTTTTTAGCAAATAGATTATCGTCCTTACAAGAGTTCAATAAATCACTAT